CTGGTGGAAAAGTTTTCCTGCAAATTTGACAAAACAAGCATACTATGAGCAGCTTGTACAATCATAATTATAGCGATTCTGTTGAGAATGAGTTCTTCTTCTTTAAGCCATTGCTTGAGAATGGTGGTAGTATTAGAGAATTAATCATAGTGCCTTTCAGTTGTTAATAGAAGAAGAAAAAAACAAAGGAGGAGAAGGAGGAGGAGAAAGGGGCTGAAGTTGTTTAAAAACTGAGTACAGGTTAAAACTTTAAAAAAAATTGGGTATAGGTTAAATGGGGGCGACCAAATAGGGCGCCCCGTATAATTTTTACGAGTTGGATATTGAATCTTAGCCTATTATTCTTTGTGTTAGTTGGTTGTAAATTGATATATGGGCTATAAAATTGAAAAATAGGGAACCTAGTTGTTCTTATGTGAAATTTTTCATAAAAAGAATTATTATAGAGAGATCCGACTATAGTTTGATTGCGTTAAATTCTCACCTTCTCTAGTCTCCTCCTCTATTGTCACGTTCTCAAGAAACTAGACACCAAAAAAGGAAAAAAGAAAAGGTGAGGGACACTAGTGGAGAAACCAGGCTAGATAGCAACACCTGAGAATTTGTTAGTTATTTTATTTGTCACTTTCCGAGAGTCAGTCCAAAGAATAAAGTTACAAATTATTAACAAGACTACAATTATTTAGGAAAAAAGTTGTGGACTAAGTGAGACCTCAAATATCCGACAAAAGATATCATTGAAGGTTCTTGAGTATGATATTGTTTAATAGGGAGCGCTTTATAACTAATAAAATATTCGGAATTTGAAATTTGAGTATGATATTGTTTTTAATAGGGAACGCTTTATAATTAATAACTGAATAAGAGGATATTGAACATACGATGAAATCAAAACTAAAGATATTCGACAATAGTTCAGTCTGATGTGTTGTTTTAATCATAGAAGACGAAGTAGACTGCTTTACAGCCTCAATCATTAAAAGGTTATTGGACGATTATTATCGTGGCTGTACTGTATATTTGAAAGAAAGAGTAGAAGAATTGCAGAAATTTTCTGTATATTTCAATGAATATAAGGATTGTACAGACTACTACTTATATACAACAAAGAATGGAATCTAAGGCATAACTACCTGTACACTTGTCTATCATTCTATTGGCTACTCTATAACAAACCCACATGCTATTTACAAGAATAAATAATGTGTGCAGAAATATAAAAACTAATCTTATTTTCAGCTTCTTCTAGTGAGCCCAAACGAATTAATTCATTGAGCCCAATAAATATGAGCCCAAAATTAATACAGAAGCCCAATATCTTTATAAGGTCTGGTCAAGACATTTGTTACCGTTGATTTCTTCCACGTGTCTTGATATCAGCTACTCAAAACCTTCACAAAGATGTTCAGACATCAAATGTATCGAACATCCCAGACCAGACTTTACCTTCTGTCCAAATGAGCTCTTCTTCTTCTTCTTCTTTATTCCTCTTCTCTATCTTTGAGCAAAACTCCATGAATCCGAGAATTAGAATGGGGTTTCATCTTCCCAATATCCCCCGCTCAAGTTGGAGGGTAACCTTGTGACCCCCAACTTGCTCAAAATCTCTGAGTGAGAAACCCCTGAAAGTGGTTTTGTGAAAAGATCCGCTAGTTGGTCTTTAGAAGGANCTCCTACCTATAGTTTGTTTTGTGTCGTTCAGTAGGAACGGACGGGGTTTACGGACGATGTGAATGGCTGCTTTTCTATCAGAATGAAGAGGTATGGGAAGATTTACTGGTGTAGACAGATCCTCAAGAAGTCGAACAAGCCAAGTAAGTTCTGCAGTCACTCTGCGCATAGATCTGTATTCTGCCTCTGCAGATGACAAAGAAATTGATATTTGCTTCTTTGATTTCCAAGAAATTGGTGCTCCTCCTAGTGTGATGAAAAACCCACTTACAGACCTTCTGGAATCCTTGCAGGAAGCCCAATCAGCATCACAAAAAGCAAGCAAAGAAAAAGATGGTGCTGCTGAGAGAAGGATTCCTTGTCCCGGATCTGAGCTCAAGTATTTCAACACTCGCAATGCTGCAGTGAAGTTAGAGAGACATGGTTTCTGCATGTACTGGCTTAGAGTGAGAACTGCAAAGGAAATATCCGGGCGAGTGTTAGTCAGATAGTTTAATTTCCCAACTAGATGTCGATACACTGTGGGATTTTGCAAAGGTCTTCCATCGTCAGCCCGAAGTTTGGAAGAAGGATCAAGAGGAGAGGTAACTCAAGCCAAGTGAGAAACTTCAAACTCATTCAGCATGTCCAAGGTAAATTTCCTTTGACTCACAATGAATCCTTCTTTTTCTCTCAGAATTTCCATCCCTAAAAAATAATGTATGTTTCCCAGATTTTTGACTTTGAATTCAGTGTTTAGAAAATCCTTGATGTGTTTGATCTCTTCCGAATCATCTCCAACTAGTAGAATGTCATCTACATAGACAGCTAGTATAGAAATCAGACTTCCTGTTCGTTTAAAAAATAGAGAGTAATCATTTAATGATGAAGAATACCCCTTAAAACTCAAAGCCCCTGCAAGCCTGGCGTACCATTGCCTGGATGCTTGCTTCAATCCATACAATGACTTCCTTAGTAAACAAACATGCTTAGGACTAGGAGGTGTTAAACCTGAAGGAAACTTCATGTATACCTCCTCCTGAAGATCACCATGCAAAAATGCATTGTTGACATCCAATTGAGACACATTTCAATCTCTTTTGGCTGCAATAGTGAGCAAATATCTTATGGTGGTCATTTTTACCACTGGTGAAAATGTCTCTCCATAATCTATCCCCTCTCTTTGGACATCCCCCCTGACCACCAGCCTTGCCTTTAATCTTTCAACTCTTCCATCTGATAGATGCTTCACCTTATACACCCACTTACAAGGTAGAGCTCTTTTCCCTTTGGGTAGTTCAACTACATCCCATGTGTGGTTGTCTTCTAGAGCTTTAATCTCTGAATCCATAGCTGCTATCCAACCTGGATGCTGACAAGCTTGTCCAAAACTGTTAGGCTCTGTGAGTGTAGAGATTGACTGCATGACATGTTGATTGTTGGGAGATAGAGAGGAAAAACAGTACTCCCTAGGTTTAGATGGTTGAGTGAAACAAGCAGCTCCTACACCTGTGAACATGATATTACTGCACACATAATCTTTTAGGTAGGTTGGTTGATTGGAAACCCTTCCTGACCTTCTCACTGGTGTAGGTTGTTTAGTTTCAGGGACAGGTGATCTAGTATGTGATGTATCTGGGATAAGTAGAAAGGAAATTGGACTAGGAGATAAGTAAGGATGTTGAGGTGTAGATGAAGAACTTGGTGATGGTGAAGAAAAATTATCAGAAAGTTCAGGTTCTAAAGAAATAGGTGAGAGATGATCCTGTGGTGGAGATGAGTAGGTGTATTCTGTACTGAAGGTTGAGCTTGGGAATATAGGTTTATGTGAAGGTCTGTTCTTAGCAAAAGGAAAATGTGTATCATGAAACTTGATATCCCTTGACACAAATACTCTTTCTGTGGAAAATTCTAGTAGCTTATATCCTTTTTGATGAAGGGAATAGCTAAGCAAAACACAGGCTGTTGCTCTTTCATCAATCTTTCCTCTTCCTTGTGCTAATGTTGAAGCATAACAAAGACATCCAAAATTCCTTAAATAATCATACTTAGGCTTCTTCTGAAACAAGACCTCATATGGTGTTTTGCCTTTAAGAACACTAGAAGGCATCCTATTAATAAGATGCGTAGTTAGGATAGACTCTCCCCAATATGACATATGTAACTTTGATTGAAACATCAGACCTCTTGCAGTCTCTAAGAGATGTCTATGTTTCCTTTCAACAACTCCATTTTGTTGGGGAGTTGCTACACAAGACAATTGATGTAGAATTCCTTAAGAAGCTAGGAAAGCTGCCTCTTGTGTACCTTTTCCCAGTTCCAGTGCATTGTCAGACCTTATCACTTTGACTTTCTCATTGAATTGTCTCTCAACCATAGATAGAAAAGATTTAAGCATAGGAAAAGCATTACTTTTAGCACTTAATAAAAATGTCCATGTGCCCCTACTATAGTCATCTACTACAGTGAGGAAGTATCTGAAACCATTGTAAGTATTTGACTTATAAGGTCCCCTTGTGTCAATATGTATAAGTTCAAATCTATGTTTGGAACTTATTTTACTGACAGGAAAAGGGTTTCTGGTTTGCCTAGCCTTAGGACACACATCACAAACAAACTCAGAATTAGATTTACAATGAAGGAAATCTAAATGTTTCATTGCTGAAAGTGGGAGGTGTCCCAATCTTACATGCCAAAGCTTAACATCTGAAACAACATTAACTTGGACTGGACTAGAAAAAGAAACAGACTCTGAAATGGAATTTCTTCCTTTTGGAATTGAAAGTACATCACTACTGAACAGACCCTTAGACTTAAGACTACATTGGTTCCAATAAGTAGAGCCCTTCTCTAACTTCACCAAAAGCTTGAGGACTCTTCATTGAAAGGCCCTGCAACACACACTCAACAGATGTGAAAAGCACATCATATTTGAATTGAACACAAAACCTATGAACTGATAACAAATTATACTTGAATTCTGGAACATGCAATACATTGTTCAGAATATGACCAGGCAGAATAGAAATGCTCCCTATGTGAGTAACAATCACCTTGAAAGAGTTAGGTAAACTGATGTTCAAAGGTACAGGGAGTGGAGACAGAAACAAGAAAGAATTAGGATCAAAACACATGTGCTCTGAGGCACCTGAATCAATGATCCAGGTGTCTGATTCTAAACTAGTGAAAACTGATCCTGAGTATTTTAGAATAGTACCTGCTACTGCATTAGCATTGATTCCTGTATTTCCTGCCTGTGCCATCTTTGCTTGCTTATACATGTGCATCATTTCTGCAACCTGTTCTATGCTGAGTTGCTGACCAAAATTATTCCCATTAAGTTCAGTGCCTTATCCTGCTGGACTTTCATGCTCTTCATTTGCCACCACTGCATTTCCCTTAATCTGATTCTGATATCCTTTGTGATTTGTGAACTCAAAATCATCAGGAAAACCAATGCATCTGTAGCAATCTTCCTGTGTATGTCCTGTTTTTCCACAATAAGTACAAGACACATTTGGATTGTACTTCTTCTTTGCTTTGAACCTCTCCTGAGGCTTAACAAACCTCTGTCCAGAGTTGTTAAATTTGGGTCCCATGGCTGCTCCCCTTTGTGTCTGGTTTCTGACCTTCTGATGGTTTTCCCTTGTCCTGTAATCATGAAAGCTGCAAAATCAGCTAGAAGTTGTGCATTAGGCTCTTTGTTCTCTCCTGCTGCCATGAATGATACTGATTGTGAGTTAAAATGTGTATTTGCATAGACTTCCCTTTGATTTTCATCTTGTAAGAGGAGTGAATAAGCAACATCCACGCTAGGCAAAGGATTCATCATGAGGATGTTTCCTCTTGCTTGTGCATAGATGTCATTTAATCCCATTAGAAATTGGATCAACCTCTGATCCTCCAGTGACTTAGTTAATTTTGCCTTTCATTCACAAACACAAACACAAGAGCAGCATATGATAACATTCAAAGCATCCAATTCATCCCACAAACGCTTGAGCTTAGTGAAATATCCTGCAATATCACTATTTCCCTGTACTAATCCTGATAGTTCTTTTTGCAGATGATAGAGCTTAGCTCCATTTGATCTCCCAAATCTCTGCTCAAGGCTGTCCCAAAGCTCTTTTGCAGTTTTGGAATAAATCACACTATCTGCAATATCCTTTGAAAGAGCATTAAGGATCCAGGAGATGACCATATCATTCACACAACTCCATTGTTCAAGTTCTGGAGATTTCAGGTCTGGAGATTTGCAAGCTCCATTGATGAAACCAAGCTTCTTCTTGGCTGACAAGGACAAGAGAATGGATCTTCTCCATCCTGGGTATCCTCTTCCATCAAATACAGTATTGACTAGAGTCATACCCGGGGAATCAGAATTATTGAGGTGATAGGGGTGATTAACATCATAGGTCACTGCCTTTGCAGCATTGCTGGTTTCTGCAGTGATGGTTGTGTCACCCATTTTGCTCTAGTGAAAAGCTGATGTAATAGATAGATTAATTGATTGGATTGTTGGATCGAGCTAGCTGCTCTGATACCATGAAAGAAAGAGTAGAAGAATTGCAGAAATTTTCTGTATATTTCAATGAATATAAGGACTGTACAGACTACTACTTATATACAACAAAGAATGGAATCTAAGGCATAACTACCTGTACATTTGTCTATCATTCTATTGGCTACTCTATAACAAACCCACATGCTATTTACAAGAATAAATAATGTGTGCAAAATATAAAAACTAATCTTATCTTTAGCTTCTTCTAGTGAACCCAAACGAATTAATTCATTGAGCCCAAGATTAATACAAAAGCCCAATATCTTTATAAGGTCTGGTCAAGACATTTGTTACCGTTGATTTCCTCCACGTGTCTTGATCTCAGCTACTCAAAACCTTCACAAAGATGTTCAGACATCAAATGCATCGAACATCCCAGACCAGACTTTATCTTCTGTCCAAATGAGCTCTTCTTCTTCTTCTTTATTCCTCTTCTCTATCTTTGAGCAAAACTCCATGAATCCTAGAATTAGAATGGGGTTTCGTCTTCCCAATAATATTAATTAAAAAAGACTTCACACATTAAATGTTCGTTCCAACAAAAAAAGGAATCACTTAATTTATGTGGCATTGTTTAGAGAATTAGGCTCAATGATAGAAGAATAAAGAAGCAAACTATCTCCTTGTTTTCATTATTTTATTATAAATCTCCTTTATAATTCTACTTTTTCACACTTAATTAAGATTTCTTGCTACAACTTTAAATTAATTTTTCAACAATCTAGGCATACATCTTTCCTTCTTGACATTATATTTCACATGGTTTGAAGTAGATAGGAATCTTTGGTTTAGAATAAGAGACGTTTTTTTATATGTATGATCATATCATTTAAAAATTTAAGGCTCTATTAGATTTGTTAATGGAACAGTGATTCGACCTTCAGCTGAGCTTATAGGTGTTAATCGGGCTGGCTGTTCCGGGCTGGACACGGAAAAAAATAGCCCATCCGGTTATTGTTTCGGGCTGGTTAGTGGTTGGGGTTCCGGGCTGTTAGTGGGCTGGGATTTTTTGGGTTTTGGTGGGCCCGTCTGGGTTCGGGCGTAACGGGTCCGGACCGGGCAGGGCTACTTTTTTTTTTTTTAAAAGTATATTTTGTTTTTTTTATTCAATGTTATTGATACTTAAGTGTTTGCAAACTTTTAACGCTTAGAATTAAACTTTAAACTTTGAAGTTTGAAGTTTTAAATTTGAAATTTGAATTTCAAAATTTAAAAATTGAAATTTGAAAGTAAGTGGTTACAAAAAATTATTTAATAAGACCAATAGGAAATATGTAAGGATCAAACTCCGAAGGCTTTCATTTTATATTTTCATTGAATAATAAATAATACCTCAAATTAATTTGCAAGTTCTATTTTGATTTTTTTATTTTTGAACTTGCAAATTAAAAGTTTACAACAATTATAAAAAATAAGAAAGAGTACATCACATGCTTTGCATCATTTTTGTAAGTTCATCCATGTCAAAATGTGTCACGATCCGGATTTCCTACCCTCGGGAGTCGTGATGGCGCCTACCCGTGGAAGCTAGGCAACCCGAATATTATTAAATTGATACCCTTTTTATTAAGCATGTTCAACAATTCAAAGTAATGAGTGATTAAACAACGGAATAAATTAAATAACCAGAAATGCGGAAGACGAAAACTTAATAGTTCAACCAAACACTGCTACATAATCTGAAATACAATACTACCCAGAATTTGGTGTCACAAGTCACGAACTATCTAAGAATACTACAAATAAGGTCTGAATAGAAATACACAAATCTGTCTCTAAATAAGTAAAAACAGAAAGAGAAATGATAGGAGGAGACGTCAAGGCCCGCGGACATCTGCAGGACTGCCTCGGGTCACCTGAATGGACAGAAGACAGCACCCTCACTGCGGTCCAAATGCTCCGGGATCAGTATCTGCACACAGTGCAGAGTGCAGTATCAGCACAACCGACCCCATGTGCTGGTAAGTGCCTAGCCTAACCTCGGCGAAGTAGTGACGAGGCTAGGACCGGACTACCAAAATAAACCTGTGCAGTTAAATCATATACAACAAAAAATAAAAGCAGATAATTACAACTAAAGTTGGGCGGGGGAAACATGCTGCGGGGAGTAGCAGATAACAACAGAATACCAATAGAGAAATGTAAGGAACGCCATAAATCAATTACCGGGAAAAGATAAAGAAATAAGAAACAAGTACACATGTAATACCGTTGCAGGCGTGCAACCCGCTCCTATTTCATATAGTACCGTTGCAGGCGTGCAACCCGCTCCTATTTCATATAGTACCGTTGCAGGCGTGCAACCCGCTCCCATTTCATATATTACCATTGCAGGCGTGCCACCCGCTCCCATTTCATATGTTACCGTTGCAGGCGTGCAACCCGCTCCCATTTCATATGTTACCGTTGCAGGCGTGCAACCCGCTCCCATTTCATATATCAACACCAATCATAAAAGAATCCCAACAAGGAAACAATAATACAACAACAACATCCCGGCAAGGGAATATTACTATAACAACAACATCCCGGCAAGGGAACAATAATATAACATCAACAACCCGTCAAGGGATTAATAATATAACACCAACATCCCGGCAAGGGAACAATAATATGATAACAACATCCCGACAAGGGAACAATAATGATAATCCTCATATGAAGCGCGAATAAACTACAACAGAGTCATAACAATTACAATACAAGACTCACGGGCATGCTTGACACCGACGTATAGATACTCGTCACCATGCCTATACGTCGTACTCCACAGCTAACACATAGCAAATAAGACACAACTCCTAATCCCTCAAGCTAAGGTTAGACCAAACACTTACCTCAAACTTCCACGGCCAACTCAAACCTCAAACACCGCTTTTCCTTTAGAATTCGCCTCCGAATTACTTGTATCTAGTCATAATTAATTTAACAACATCAATAAATGCTAAAGAATTCATACCCAACGGTTAATTATAGGTTTTCTATCATTTTCCCCAAAAAGCCAAAAATTAACCCCGAACCCGCTTGGTCGAAACTTGAGGTTCGGACGAAAACCCGATCACTCATTCACCCACGAGCCCGAATATGTAATTAGTTTCGGAATCCGACCCCAAAACGAGGTCTAAATTCCAATTATTCAAAAAGCCCTAACTCTACCCAAACCCTCAATTTTTACCATGAAAATTCTTAGTTTTTGCTTTAAAAGTGATGGAAAACAGTAAGGAATTGAAAGAACAAAGTTTAGAATTGATTACCTATGACTTGGGGATGATAATTGTTGAAGAAAATCGCCCTTAGGGCTGTAAACCTCGAAAATATGGTGAAGAAGAAGGTCTGCCCGTTTTTAATCTGTTTTTAAAAAGACTGGACAGGGAACCTATGCGTTCGCACACAATTGGATGCGTTCGCATAGGGTAAGGGGGCTGGGCACTGCGATCGCGGGGCACGGTACACGTTCGCATAGTGTATTGGGCTCCCCTCCCCCAGGCCAATTTTTTTTACACTGTGCGTTCGCATGGGGGAGCTATACGTTCGCATAGTATAGCCTACAGGAGCCTTCGCGATCGCACACATAAGGCTGCATTCGCACAGTACACAAAACAGGACTCCCTTGAGACTACTCTATGCGATCGCGAACCTACCTATGCGATCGCATAGCACAAAGACCTGGACACCAGCAAACAGAAAACCAGCAACTCTCTTTAAGTGTAAAACACCCCATGGCCTATCCGAAACTCATCCGAGCCCTCGGGGCTCTAAACAAAACATGCACGCAAGTCTAAAAATATCATACGGACTTGCTCGTGCGATCAAATCATGAAAATAACATGTAAAACGATGAATTAAACCTCAAAGCTCATCATTTTCATCAAGAACACTTGAAGTTCATAACTCTTCAACCGGATGTCCGAATCACGTCATTTCAAGTCCGTTTCTCACCAAATTTTACAGGCTCAATCTAATCGCCATATAAAACCTGTACCGGGCTCCGGAACCAAGATACGGGCCCAATACCATCAATTTCAAAAACATTCAAATTTCCAAAAAAATTCATATATATTCCAGAAAACAATTTTCTTTAAAAATTTATTTCTTGGGCTTGGGACCTCGGAATTCGATTCCGGACATATGCCCAAGTCCCATATTTTCCTACGGACCCTCCGGGACCGTCAAATCACGGGTCCGGGTCCGTTTACCCAAAATTTTGACCGAAGTCAACTCCAATTCATTTGAGGCAATATTTACTATTTTCACAGATTTTCACATAACGACTTTACGGATACACGCCCGGACTGCGCACGCAAATTGAGGTAAGACAAAAAGGAGGTTTTTTTTAGGCCTCGGAACATAGAATTTGTTTCTAAAACAAGTGATGCCCTTTCGGGTCATCACATCCTCCACCTCTAAAACAATTGTTCGTCCTCGAACGGACATAAGAAGAAAGTACCTGAGTCGGAGAAAAGATGGGGATAACGGCTTCGCATATCGGACTCGGACTCCCAGGTCGATGCCTCAGCAGGCTGACCTCTCCACTGAACACGGACAGAAGGGAAACTCTTCGATCTCAACTGATGAACCTGCCGGTCTAGAATAGCTACCGGCTCCTCCTCATATGACAAATCCTTGTCCAACTGGACAGTGCTAAAGTCTAACACGTGGGATGGATCGCCGTGATACTTCCGAAGCATGGACACATGAAACACTGGATGCACGGCTGATAAACTCCGCGGCAACGCAAGTATGTAAGCCACCTCTCCAACTCGATCAAGAATCTCAAACGGGCCAATGAACCTAGGGCTAAGCTTGCCATTCTTTCCAAATCTCATCATGCCCTTCATAGGCGACAGTCGAAGCAACACCCGCTCGCCAACCATGAATGCCACATCACGAACCTTACGGTCGGC